TGGATGAATGGAGGTTTATGTCAATCATGTTTGTTACTTTCTAAGTTAGCGTGAAAATTATTAATTATCGGTTGAGTAAATTGTGTCTAGATAACGTTTGGAGTAGTTGCCAATAATTTTAACGATTATTTGGTAAGTTAAGTAAATAAATTTCTGTCGAGGCGACTTTGAAAATAGTAAAGACGCTAATATACATGAAATACCTTTTTTAATACACCAATATATCTACTCAATTAATATAATTACTTTTCTGAACATAAACATAAAAAGTGGGTGAATTTTTCAGGAAATTTGCTAAACTCATCACAGTTATAACTTTTTATCCGAAATGCAGTTTTCATAGCCAAACTGAAAAGGACTATGTTGTGTATGTTTGTGTGAAGGTAGATATTTAAACTTCGTATTCCAAAAGCATCTTCTGAATAACAGTTATTTCAGTACAAAAAGCTAATCTCATGAGGATTGCAGAACAGAACTTTTTAAACCAATATTTTTCACTATATTCAGTCGACAAAATGTATACCCATAAGTAAATTACTTATAATGAAAATCCTTCTTTCTGTTGAGTTAGTATTGAGCAAAATAGCACCAACATACTTTTAAGCTTCAACTTTTTAAATGTAATATTTATGACTCGATGCTGTCGGCTACATGCACCTTATTGTAACTATGTACATTAATACTAACATAGTTTAAATATACCACTAACAAATTACTTCATAGTCATAGTTACTTTAAAGAAATATTTTTTTTATGATTTTAAATGAAGCTGACCAAAATACGTCTTCCCTTGTGGGATGCGCTTTCTCAAGATCGCTGCATATTCAAGTCATAAAGTTAAATAAATAAATTGCTACTTCCCCTAATCAAATTAATAAAATGCTTGTTTTATAATAATTAAATCTTTTATTTCCACACAAAATATGTTTTTAACATTTCAAAGATATTTTTTGCTAGTCATATTACTATGACTAGCAAACTATGATATTACTATCATGGTCAGTAATCATTGTGTGATGTGAATTTCTTTTTTGTCAAAGCCTCCTCATCTTTGGCGTGGGTCATCCAATCTAGTCATGGATTTATCACAATATTATCTGGCCACCGTTTCACTGATCTGCTGATTTTCCTAATGTTGGCTTCCAATATTTAACTTTTATGGGGCCATGTCGTCCTTATACCTCGAAATAGGACCAGATTATAGCAATTTTGGTTTTAAACCTGTGGTAAAGCATTAGTTATTATTTTCCTTTGCCTGACAACTTCTGTCCTTATTTTAAGTTTTTGTGCCCTTCTCTCCAGTGACATTCATGTTACATTGGTAAGTAGTGTAATGGGTAACGTCTAAAGCCAGTCAACACTCGATTGCCGTATCAAATTTTATTAAAAATTATAATAATAATATTTAATTCACAAATAAGGGTTCACAAAATTATCACATTTTGTAAACCCATATTTTGTAAATTTAATATTATTATTATATTATATTTAAATTTCTTATATTTAGATTCTGAGTTTATTAAATCATTTACGAGTATGTACTTAAAAATGAAAAGTAACAACTGTGTATCCTTCTGTTATAAGGACATAGCCAAAATAATTTCATTATTATTGTTATTATTTTCATATGATTTAGCTGCCTCGGTGGTGTAGTTGTAGCGTATGTGACTGCTGCGCTGAGGTCTCGGGTTCGATTTCCGGACCAAATTTTTGTATGATCTGCAAACATTTGTTTCGGAGTTTGGGTGTTATCTATATATTATATGTATGTATTTACAAAAAAAATATATATATGTATTCTATCAGTCCATCTAGCTTTTATAGTACAAGCTATGCCTAGTTTGAAACTAGATGGCGTTGTGTATCGGATGTCCAAAAAATATTATATTATTATTATTAAATTATATCTTTATCCCCTAAGGAGTAAACAGGCGTATTCAACGCCAGCATTTGTGGTTGCGTGTGTGTGCGGTTTTTGGTGGGTTCGAGTCAGACATAGAGGGGATTGCCGCACAGGAAAAAAAGGTGTAAGTAAATAAAACAGACAGAATATAACTTGAAACTATTTTATATCAACATCGAGTTAATGTAATGGCCGAACTAATTACACAATATTTACAGCATTGAGCATCACATTAGCAAAACCTTAATTATTTTACACAACTATTTTAAATTATAAACTAACGCGTCCAGACTCAATCTGTACGGCATGCACTACATGTTCTGAAGCATATATGAAACAATAAATAAATACACTTTTAGAATTAAAATAAGGATTAGATCGTCACATATGCAATGTATGGCTGCCTGTCAAATAATATTTTTTTCCAATCAAGCGCCCTTAAGACATTCTGGTGTCAATCAATACGAGTATATCAATCCGAAGATTACAAGTCTCTGAAAAAGCGCGCGATACAAACGAGCAACTTGTGTCTGTGTATTGGGACGGATTGGAGTATTGAAATACGCGTTTTGCATTAAATGTAGCATAGGACTTCACCAGGCCACGACTTAGACTAGGCCCTTGATCGACAACATAAGTAAGAAACAAGATATGTACCTATTAAGAGAGATAACAGCACTGTGGCTGTTTGCAATTTGAGACTTATTACTTCAAGACATACACTGAAGGAGAGTATTATGCAAGTTGTTTGCGTAAATTGGTGACTAGCACTAAGAGTATGTTAACTGCAGGTAAATGTAGACAATATGTTCAAACACCAAATATCATGCTTGTAATTAATAACCACGGAAAGATATGAGTAAACGTATCTTTGTGGGAAAAGAATCGCTTATGTTATAAAAGAGGATAGAAGAAGATTCATTGAACCGTGTTTTGGAGAAACTATTCTATCCATTAACTCTGTTTAAAATGATCTGAACCTATTCACGAATAAACTTATTCACGCAGTTATTTTGCAAAAAGGATTTCTAATTAGTATAAGAAAAAGATGTTTTTTTTTTGAAAGATTATGAACACATCATTTTTGCGTTAATTTTGACCGTGTGGATTGGATAATTTATGCACAGCACACTATCTAAATTGTTTAGAATGAGGTATTTGGATAGGGATGACCAAATTCCTTTACATGGTTGCTAAAAGCCCTTTATTTCCGTGTTCAGGAAACATAACTTAGACAAAAACTAACCAGTAAGTAAAATACCCTGAGTGCACGGTATTTATTTATTTATTGGCTAAGAAACAAATATTTGTATTGGCTCATACATTTCAATCTGGAAATAAATAAAAGAAACGCATTGTTGAACTAAAAAGCCCCGATTTTACGTTTCAAACTGCGGATAATGTTTTAAGAACTGCTAATCCAAATATTCAATGATACCTTTTTGTTTTACTTATTTATGTTTGAAATTTGGTAAAAAAAAAATATAAACATAGAACGTAACGTTGCCCACATTAGCACTGGTACATTTCAAGAGTTCTGATTAGTTTAAGATTAATGAAAAATTATAATTAAATAGTTTATTAAATAAAATCATATGCTTGTATGGAGTACTATATTCTTACCTATTTTGTATATTTACAAAACATTACATACGTCACTTATTATTTACATGTTTGTTTTTTATACTGAACGAACTTTAAGTTTAGGTTAGCTCAACGAATATTTAACCAAACCAAAAGTTTGAACTTTCCCTTTACTATCTTTGTGAGTGTCTCTCTCTCTCTCTCTCTGTGTGTGTGTGTTTGCGTGTGTGCATAATGTGTTAATAGAGACTTCATCCTGGCTCCAAGTAACTACAGAGGTGAAGAAAAAAATGAAAGTCAGTTTATCGTAAGTGGGTTTGACAAGACCTTGTTCAATCATACGACCTAAATAAGACAAAATGGTCAAGTTTTTTATAACGCCTGTATTCCTTTAATGGCGTTAATTTTTTAAGGTTATTTATTACAATTTTTCATGTCATTTTTCAATTAGTTTTAACGTGCTCGTTTTCCTCTTAATACAGATAATGATCGAAGTAAAATAAAGAATTTTTACACAACTTTCAGGTCCATGACAGAAAATTCTGTTTTAACAACAAAAAAAAAGGTGAACTGCTGCTGCTGAAAGAAGGCCTCCCCCAACCGCCTACTGTCCCGGTCTTGGTTTTTGTCATATACTTATACGTATTCAAAACAGGTTTATTAGGTTCGGGTACGACTATGTTAAAAAAATGAATAACACCTGAACTGTATAAAAATTACTTGTGTTATAAATGCAAAAGCATATTTTTGTATCAATGCTGAGTCACATATAATCCATGTTTTTATATCTCAGAAATAAAATAATGTTATCAATAATGAGAAAAGGATTCTTGTCACATAGACAGACGGACAGACAACTGATCCCATACGGAAATCCTTGATTCTTTTTGAGGTACATAACACTAAAATAAAACTATATTCCACTAAAGCCAATATTAAAATGTATCTTATGACAACGAAATTAAGCACATATCAAGGTTCTGACAAAATAACATGATTCAATTAGGTTTTTACTTGAATTTTCACAAACCTACTCAGGGAAAATACAACGAACATGTAGCATTATATTTATATCCTAACATATATAACATACCTAATACAATAACTTATTAAATATGTATCACAATTGATTCATAATATTAGCTTAAACAAATTGCACTAGTATATTGATATACAGCTTTTTCAGACAAAATCTTCTCAATTCGACACTTTATTAGTATGCTATTAAAGTCTGAATTAAAATAACAATAATTTTGTTCATGTTTTGACTTTAATTTTTTATTAATACTATGTAAATATTGAAGTGTTCTTGTTGAGCAATTTTTTTTTCATGTCACAATCACAACTCCAATACACGACTTATTTTCAAATACCCATTGAGTTTTGGATACTAGTTTTGTCACTTCACTTTATAATGGTTACATGTCACTGATCATCACTAATTTGATAGTCCACAACTGTTTTCGTTCTCTTTATCGACCCTGGGGTCCTGGGACCCCGGTCGCTGCCACAATCACGTGTGGGAATGACCCAAACTTCCATGAGAGTGGTGATGGTTTGCCGCTAGGTGGTGGAAGTATGGGGCGTAAGGTCCAGGGCCTGTGAACGGGTAGGGTACTCCATGGGAGTACAGCAGGCCTCCAGGGTAAGGGCCGGAGGGAAAGCCTCCGGCTGTCGGAGGCGGAACTGTTGGGCTGTTGACGTCCATACCAGGATTTTGCTTTTTCCACTTTGTTCTGCGATTTTGAAACCAGATTTTGACCTGTTGAAGAACAGTTAGAATGATTAAGTGATGCCCATATTATTGTATTCATGTTCAGAGCAAAGTAATGTAATACACTGCTATAACTTTACACTCTATTGTCCACAGACTTTTAAAATTGTACAGCTCTAAAGACTATTTCATGTTCATCACTCTTTTACTCTAACAAGTCTTATAAAAGCCTTCGATAAAGTTCTTTTTACTCTTCTTCTTTAGTATGGTTCATAAATAACACGTTTTCTTAGTTATTATAGACATTTTTAAGTTCAACATGTTAATTTTCCATGAAAAGCTCCATCTAAAGCTTTAATCTACTACTCAAGATTATAAGGGGAAAACTACAGCAGGGGCGTGTAAGGTACTTCACTTTATATCTTAGGCTTCAAATAATATTAGTTGAGTCCATTTATTTGTATATCAATAGAATCAAGCACTAATGAATCGATTGCCTAAATCGTACAGGAGAAAAAACAATTCGAAATCACTTAAAATATTAGACTTGCATCGTTACAGTTAAATTCCTCGTCATGGCTGTGGCTTGATATTATAACAGGAAAGGCTAGACTCGTCGATCATGCCATTCGAGTCGGGACCTAATCTGATGATATGTTGATACCACATACTTATAAACCTCATTTCGTAGGTATAGCTCACAAAACTTATCAGTTGAAATGTAAGTTCTAATAATTACCAAGTCATTTTATTAATCCAAATGTCTTTGTAATGAGTTACACAATAAAAATTAAAACGGCCATATAAACGGCTATTGGAAAATGGTTTCGTTTGGGCTGGTATTTCAGTTATATCCATTTAGCTGATTGGCTTTGAAAACAAGATATCCTTAAAAGGCAATATCGAAGTACCTCTTATTTTAGTAAAACGTAATACATACCTGAGTTTCTGTTAAACTCAAACTAAGAGCCAAATTTAATCTCTCGCACACGGACAAGTATCTTGTAGTCTTGAATTTATTCTCCAACGACACCAACTGTTCATAAGTGAACGCTGTCCTCGCCCTTCTGGGCTTCGTTCCACCTTTCGAGTCCCTTGAACAGCCTCCTTTGCCTTTCTTAGAGCTAGAACTGGTGGGGCTTTTTGGGTCTCCGTTTTCGTCCAAATCTGATTGTGTGAGAATATCGTCGTCAAGATTGGAGGTCTGGTCGTCTGTTTCCACCTCTTCGGCTTCCAGGTCTGAGTGCTGGAGGTGATCTTTGACTGCAACAAAAACAAAAAAATTTAAATTATTTTTGATTACACAATAATAATGTGTGGTTAGAACCGGCACAGATGAAGTAAAAGATAGCGATGGGCCCTACAGCGGTAATTGCTTTCGCTATGAAGTCGAATGTTAACTGGTTACGCCGCTGGTTAAACCAACCAGCCGGCAACCAGTGGTTGTCGAGCTGATTGCTGATTATATTAGTAAAGATGTTCTAATTGATAAACTGTTAATTATTTGAATTTATTAGAGATTCTTAGGGATCATATTAATTCCGATTGCTCCATTTAGTCAAACTCATCACGGAATTATCAGCAGTTTCTACGAGCCGCAAACGCATAGTGGCATCTTGACAAAGGCTTGCCAAAGACAGAGGGAAATGTAAACGGAATGAGGTGGTGGTGGAAGGAAACCCACAAAGACTTGTAGCCCTGAAGAAAGAAGAAGGTATACCTACCTAGGCTGATTTTCAACTTAATGCTTTTACCCCTTACAGCATAGTATAGACATCTTTACATTTCACTAGTAAATTTAAATTAATGATATTTTTTGTCTTCAAATGATGTAATCTTTATATATATATATATATATATATATATTTATATGAATAATTATTTATGACTCAAATAACATAATTATACATATAAATACGAGTAAGTATTTTAAAATACAATCAAACTTATCCATTTTACCCAGTAAGCTTAGTAGTCGTTTAGTAATATACCTGCTGTAGTTAAACAATTAGTAGTAGTATGTCTGCTAACGTGAAAAGTAGGAGAAAGAGAGAGAGTGAGTTCGATGGAAGCAATGTTTTACTCGAGACCTGCAAACTACTTTATACATTGATGTTCAATGCCAAAAAAGTGTAAGTCCGAATTAAAACTATTTACAGACCTATAAAAAGAAGCTCATATAACTTATATGAATATTTCTCATAGTTAATTACCATCTAAAAATATTTAAAGATCTGTTTGTTGGCTCTGAGCTCTTATTAAGTGCACGTTATAAATAAAATAGTTTTATAGTTTCCTCACAACACCGTTTTCATAAAATTCAGTTTTTCAGATGATATAATGGACATTTCCGTTTCCTTCGCAGTCGCCGCGCGTGGCTAGTGTTGCCAATGCGAAATAGTTTTAAAACAGCTATTAATTTTTAATGCGGTAACATTGGTAACGTATTGGAGCCCGGAAACATTAAAAGATAATTTATGACGGGACAGTTTTGTGTTTAGTAAAATTACTAAAATGCGAATTTTAATGGTGGACGGGATGTATAAATATTAGCGAAATTGGCTCTGTGTTTTTTATCGTTTAATATTCAGTTTCGGAAATACAAAATCTCGTTAAGATTCGCGTTAAACGGCGGCGATACCCTCGATTTATACAGTTAAACTGTTAATATATTTAGTGACTTCTGGAGTTTAAACTGCGGAGGCAACTAAAAGCATTATAGTGCTTTTATGAGATGCAAATGACGCCACACATGTTCTTACACATAGTAAAATTTATTTTAAATTTGATTCACGATTTTTAATTACGCGCATTAGACGCATTTTAGGGGAATTATCATTAAATAAAAAAATTCATAATAAGAATAAGGTGTTGGTTACATTTTGTGCCTATATGATTTACCTATTATTATATATTTGTGCCTATATATTTTATATTTATATGGTCATTAGAATCTTAAGATAAGTGGGGCTTATTACTAAAGCGAACATAAAACTAGTGGATTTATGACTATCCTAAAAATAAAATGTCGCAGTTGTAAAAACACAGTTTAAATATAGAATTATTGTAGAGACCGTGTTAGTGAAATGAGGCTTTTGTAATCCGTGAGAAACTAAATTAAAAATAGAGTAATTAGGTAAGTACCGCTATGAATCGATATACAGACCAACCGTTCTTGTAATACGGAAAAACACAACTAGCCGTTTAAAAATCCAAATTGAGAAAAAACAAGGACATTTTTGTTCTTATTTTAAAACAGAACTAATTTTATTAAAAAAAATTTTTTAATACATTTTGAAAAAAGAACAAAAATTGATAAAATGCACAAACCTTATAATGATAATGTAACACGGCAAAATACACAAATTGTCCTTTTGAACGGTCTAACAATACTCAAATTTATGACATTCATAATTTCTACGATTGCTATCGAATGACACCAAAATAAATTATTTCAGCATAGGCTATTTTAGACCTCCCTATCAACATAAGTTAAGTATAACATCACTTACGACTAAAGAGTAATAAAACAGCCTATTGGAAAATATACTTTTAGGAAGAAACTACGACTCCAATAAGAAATAACCACCGACATAATTTACTCGATAATAACCTCTAAAATACTAAAAATAGAACTTTCTTTTAGTTGTAATTCAATGTCGTTTACGACGTTGCTGTTGGAGTATATTTTCCAGGACAAGTAGTACGAATTAGCGAGATAAAATGAGGAGCAGATGTGGTGACGATGGATATATTATTGGTCGCATGCGCCGCGTTGTTAGAATTAAATACATTTTGTAAAGAATGTTCTGTATAACAAGATATATTTTATGCGTTATGGCCTTTGATCGGGTACTTTATTTCAAGATTCTTTGTTTCGAGCTTTGTTTTTTATACAGTAGAAATAAACATAAAAATATGACACTTTAAAATATTATGAATATGTTAGTTCAAGATAATCATAAAAGTAGTTAAGTATAATTAAAAACAATTTAGTGCTTACCAATTAGCTGTGAGTTTTTCGACTGAGAAAGCGTACAACAAAGTGGGACTTAATTATTAGTATTTACTCATATAATTTACTTTTAAGAATATATGTTCTTAAGTATATATAGAGATACTCCTAAAAATATAACATCTATGTAAAAAGACAAAAAGAAAATGATTACTAATGGATTGTCAAAATATAGATCATTGTATAAAAATATACATTTACTGTACAGTGTAATGTATCATAAATACAATGAAGGATCAAAACATATATACCTCAACTCTAGAAGAGTATAATAATATAATGAAGTTAGATACTAATAAAGTAGAAACAGACAAAAACACCAGTATATTCTACAGTTATTATCGCTAACCTCGCTTTCCACTTGCAGTGGCAGACACACCTAATTCTTGATGCAAACAAAACGCATATTTGTAGGCAATCATTTGTCTGTCCGTAGCAACATGCCATGTTAATTGTGCCGTACAAAAAGAGATGATAGAAAACTGGGGGAGGTCATTATTAGGGGTTTCAATGAGGTGCTATTTATTACTCTTTCGGTAGTCGACTTATCAAGCTTGATTGCACGGATCTCGTAGTGCTTGTTTTATTTGTCCCACGCAAAGGCAGGCTTTTTTTTATTCGTATAAGGGGGCAAACGAACAGACGGGTCACCTGATGGTAAGCAACTACCGCCGCCCAAGGACATCTGCAACTCAAAAGTCACAAGTGTGTTGCCGCCCTTGGAGACCCTTTCACTCGAGTCAGCGGGAGGGGATCTGAGCTCCGGTAACCTCATGCAGTGAAAGGCAACGTAAGAATTGCTTAACACCGGCTTTCTGTGTGGCCGTGGTATCACTCCGGTCGAGGCGGCCCATTCGTGCCGAAGCATGGCTCTCCCACATAAGCGGGTCAGAACTTGTTGTCGAGAAGATGTTTACAATATACTAATCGCACGGGAACGTTTATTAGGTGAACGGTGAACGTGATACAGGATCAGAAGTAGTTGCCATAATTATTCAGATTGAATTCGCTAAATAGCGATGATCTTTTTATTCCTGGGTACACATGTCGCCACAACTAGTGATAGCGGAAAGAATAAAAGTTTTTGTTGATTGTAATCACTAGAGTTAGACCGTTGAGTGTTGTCTGAAATGAAACTGCTAAAGATTTCTTTGAAATATACTTCATCATCATTATCATCAACAGCTTTTAATAGTCCACTGCTGGACATAGGCCTCTCCTTAGAAAGGAGGTTTTGGCCTACTATATAACGCTGGCCAGGCGGGTTGGTATAGGGTATAAAAAAAAAAGGGTTTGGGTCAAGTTTTCCGTTTTGGCGTTATTTAACGCCCTTAGTCGGCTCTTACGACACCCACGGGATGATTTTTTTGACATTCCATTTTCTTAATCCGTCACTTCAGTTAGTCAATATACTTCAGTTCGTCGTAAATCGAACTACAGCACAGACGAAGACGAATTACCGAGTGTTTAAACACTTTTTTACACTTACAAAATGAATACATTCTCTGAACACAGTAATATAATATATAGTGTTTTCATGCTGACGATATATCGTCAGCATGAAAACACTCCGTACCCATCTCAGAGTAACACGACTAGTGAATTTACACGTGTTAGATTACGGCCATATAGCGTGTAGACGCCTCAACGTTGTGATTGTCACCATCACTACAATTTATAGTGGGCTCTATACATACACGGTGATTTTGAAAGCGTTTTGGAAACGAAACATTTTAATTTGGAATCATCTATAGTACCAATAAAAATGATTAAATCAATTGTAATGTTGTCTTAAAAAAAATTTCAGTTTTAATATTAATTTTTACTCGATCGACTTGGAAAGTAGTAGTGGACTGATCATTCATTCATTATCTTATATGAATGAAACACGTCGGGGGGTTCGGCGGCCGCTGCGCACCGCTGACGCTAACAGCAGCTGATAAAAGTATACCTATAGGCGCGAGCTAGCGAGTACTTACGTAGATAGACTCCAATTTGTCCTTCATACTTTACACGGGCTTAGGATCGTCGGAAATACCTATTTTATTTAAACTTCTTTTCGATTATTAACAAATCAATTTATCAATGGACTGTAGGTATAAATATTTCAAGCGTATTTAAAAAATCGGAGCTTTCTACAGAATAATTAACTTACATACCTATTTACACTATTTACACTTCTCTGTATCGAAGCAACTGCTGGCCCTCCTCGACCTATAAACCGATCACTAAACTCATTGTCCAGGTA